AGCAGTCAAAAAAGCGAACAGAATGTTGGGAACCATTAGGAAAGGGATAGATAATAAGACAAAAAATATCATAATGCCTCTGTATAAATCCATGGTATGCCCACACCTTGAATACTGCATGCAGTTCTTGTCACCCCATCTCAAAAAAGCTATATTAGAATTGGAAAAGATACGGACAAGGGCAACAAAAGTGATTAATGGTATGGGACAGCTTCTGTATAAGGAGAGATTAAAAAGACTGTGACTTTTCAGCTTGGAAAAGAGACGACTAAGGGAGGGATATGATAGAAGTCTATAAAATCGTGAACAATGTGGAGAAAGTAACTAAGAAAGTGTTATTTACTCCTTCACATAACATAAGAACCAGGGGTCATGAGATTAAATTAATAGGCAGCGGGTTTAAAACAAACCAAAGGAAGTATTTCTTCACACAATGCACAGTCAACCTGTGAAATTTGTTGCCAGGGGATGTTGTGAAGGCCAATACTGTAACTGAATTGAAAAAAAGAACTAGATATGTTCATGGGGGATAGGTCCATCAATGGCTATTAGCCAAGATGGTCAGGGATGCAACCCCATCCTCTGGGTGTCCCTAGCCTCTGTTTTCCAGAAGCTGGGAGTGGATGACAGGGGATGGATCACTGGATGATTGCCTGTTCTCTTCACTCCCTCTGAAACACCTGGCATTGGCCACTGTCAGGAGATAGGATACTGGGCTAGATGGACCATTGGTCTGACCCAGTATGGCCGTTCTTATGTTCTTATGTTATCAGTATGACTCCGAACTGGATTTCTGAATAAGAATAGCATCTGCAGTTAGAAATGGCAACAGTTATCAATCCTGATGCTTCAGGGTATATATTGATCAAAAGCTGAGGCAGGAAGAGATTTCCCCCCATGCTGTAGTGTTGCACATTTGTCTGGTACAGAATGAAGGTGTTGGAGGTGACACTTTCTTATGATGAATCTGGAAGAGGCCATTGTAGGAGATGGGACACTGAATTAGATGGTCTCTTTTGGTACAGTCTTAGTTTATTCATAGATTCATAGATTCTAGGACTGGAAGGGACCTCGAGAGGT